AAGCCAGACCACAGCTGCATCATTAGCCCCTTAAATCCCTCCAATCCATACATGAAGCAAACTGACACCCACCATGAAGATGTGGCACGACCAAGAACACAAAGCCAAACAACAGCAATGCAGCTCACCAGCTCAAATCCCCCTGCAACTCAGACTAATCCGAGCACAACCAAGCCCCCACCCAAACAGAACACACCCCCAGCCAATCAGAGCACAACCAACCCCCCATCCAATCAGAGCACAGCCAAGCCCCTAATCAATCAGAACACACCTCCACCCAATCAGAACATAGCCAAGTTCCCACCCAATCAGCTCACACCCACACTAGCAGTTAAAAGGAAGAGACAGCTGCGATCTCACATTGCTCCTGGAAGCACGAAGCCGAGAACACCAGCCTGAAGATCACGAATGAGACTTCGTCCTTCCAATTTTACGTGGGAGAAGACCCGAATAACCAAAGACCTACATATATATATATATATATATATATATATATATATATATATATATATAGGCACAAGGTGACATGTGAACAGTAGACTTTTTACTTTTCCATCTAGGCTTTGATCTGGTGTGTTGTATGATTAAACCCAGAGGTGGGTTTCAGCAGGTTCTGACCAGTTCTGAAGAACCGGTGGAAATTTTCAGTAATTCGGAGAACTGGTAAATACCACCTCTGACTGGCCCCACCCCCATCTATTCTCTGCCTCCCAAGTCCCAGCTGATCGGGAGGGAATGGAGATTTTACAGTCTCCTTGCCCTGCCATACCCACCAAGCCACATTCACAGAACTGGTAATAAAAATGTTTTAAAACCACCACTGATCTAGCCATCTAATCAGGGTATGCAATGTCAGGATGTGGTAGCATGAGTCATACTCACAAACTGACAACACATTTTTGTCCTTTTAATTGGGTTTCTATTGATTATATCTCTTGTTGCTTTTTTCATTTTCTAGCATTATTTTTCTAACATGTTACCAGGTTTAAATAGGCTTTCCCTGTTTTGGAGGGGGAAAAAAATAGCAAGCTGAGCCTTGGTAGTACAGTGGTTTAATGCACCCTGTTATTAACACAGCTGCCTGCAATTTCTGCAGGTTCGAATCTTACCAGGCTCAAGGTTGACTCAGCCTTCCATCCTTTCTAAGGTAGGTTAAATGAGGACCCAGTTTGTGGGGGCAATAAGATGACTTTGTATAAATATACAAGAGTATGAAGGCTATTGCTTAATGCATTGTAAGCCGTCCTGAGTCTCCGGAGAAGGGCGGCATATAAATCAAATTTTTAAAAAAAATGTGACGGCAATATGTGACGCCGCGAGTTTGACACCCGTGATGTATACCCAGCCATAGATTGAGAAACAAGAGTGATTACATATATACAGTTGTGGGATTCAAATATTTTAACAACTGGTTCGATGAATGCATGCTTCGCGCTGAAAATGGAGCATTTAGAAGCTCAGCTGCTTAACTTCCAAGTCAGCAACGGTAAGTAGAATAGCAAGGGGGAGGAATCAGCCATGCTGCGTGATTGAGATGATCTAGAAAGCACGAAATAAAGGACAGGATAGGGCAGGGGTGGGTGGGCGGGGCCAGCTGATTGTTGGAGCTACCGGTTCACCCGAACTGACTGAATACCACCTCTGCATATGTAACATTATGTCATAGTACAAACCGTATGAATTGTGTCATTGCATCAAAGTCATGATCTAAGTATAGAAGTAGTAAGAATAGTTATAATTTTTTTACGATATATTCCTATCGAAGGGTAATAAAGGGCAAAGCAATAAAATCTAACTCGATTTAATCCAATATCAGCAAAACAGCAATATATCATTATAAGACATTTCTTAATTCCAGCATGTTCATAATGTAAATCTGTATTGAATTGTAGACAGTTCTTCCAACCCAGTGAAGAAAACCATTTAACATCCTTTATTAAGTTAAAGGGATCAGAATCCAGACACAATTCAAGGGTCAATTACAGAGGACGGCAGCCAAATAGAGAAAAGCCTTTAAACCTGAGTGGATAAAAAGGGATTTGTTTTATATCAATGTCCTCCATCATTTTTCATAACTGAGACAGCTGTGGATGCTATTGGATCTGGCCATTGTGGCTTATAAACCATAAATTATACCTTAACATGATGTATGAACTCATCTATTTGATTAAGCAACTTATGTTATGTTATGTTTGAATGAATCACTGCCTACAACCTCTTAGTATCTTTTCTTCACAGACTCACTCATTAGACTTCTGTGGTGTGGGATTTAAACTAAAATCAATATTTTTCCCTTTTCTTCATTGGGGATGTTCAAGGCTTTAAATCATTCTGTATTGTGAAAAGAGCCAACCAGATTTACACCTCCAATATAATACAGGTGAATAAAGAAGTGTTTTCTTTTTCAAATGTTTCAACTTCTATGAATGTTGAGGGCACTAAGTTATCTGTTCAAAGTGGACAGCACTTTGTCATTTGTGTAATTTTTGTAAGGAACTCCTGTGTGAAATGTTCTAAGAACAACACCTATCACAATAAGTCACATTTGTTTAACTGTGTTTTGTTGAAGAACCCTGACTGATTTGTTGCCTCAAGGTATACAGTACATTGTGGATTGTGAGTTAATATCCACTGGGTGCTAGCAAATAGTTTTACTATTAAATTCAACATAAACTATCTTCTAGACAGGTGACTTTGCTAGCCACACCTTCAGTTTAAGAATGGCAGAGACAACATACAAATATTAAACTTCTGTTTTTCCTAATATTAATTAAAATGCTTCCTATTTTTAGCTTAGTGGTCAAGAAATAAGGTGATTGTGAGTTCTAGTCCTGCCTTAGGCATTAAAACCAGTGGGTTACCTTGAACCCATCAGACTCTCTGCACTTACAATGACAGGTTTGGATGACAAACTGGTTGGTCAATTCCTTTTGCAACTAGTGGATCAACATTTTTGATCTGAAAAAAAGCAAACCTTTCACTTTCAGGGGAAAAATACACTAGGAAGAAAGAAACTAGGCTTTGCAACTTTTGCTTGAAATTTATTGCAACATTTCTCCCACATTTGGTATCATAGTGAGTAGGGTAACAAGAGACAGATTTTAAATTCACCTATGTGATGAGGTTGTTTTGTGAAACTCTTGTGTTGCCAACTAATTTAGAAATTTCAGGGAAGATACCAAAGTAGAAGGACATTAAAGGAGGTGCCAGAGGTGAAACAAAACAAGATCATATTTATTAAAATTATTCCCATCAATTACTTGCATTCTGGCTGGAGAATTCTGGGAATTAAAGCCAACACATCTAAAAATTGCCAAGGTTAACACTCGGTTACATTGCCTTAACACTGGATTAAGGAATCAAGCTAGAGAAACTGGAAGGCTGTACGTTCTAGTCCCACCTTAGACATAATACCACCAGGGTAACCTTGACTAGTAATTTTCTCTTAACCTTAAAGAAATGGCAAATAAATTCCAAAATCTTGTCAAAAAAAGTGCACAGATTTGTCCAGGCCATCACCAAAGTCAACACTGATTAGAAGGTACACAGACACTTGGGTCCTTCCCCAATCTGCTATGGTAAGTCCAAGTAGCAGAGACCGTTTCCAGAATTTTACTCATAGAGCACTTGCTTTCATTGGGCAAGTTTTATATCTCGTCAACTTCTTTCTCCCCCATGGGTTGATTAGTTTAGGTATTATGAAGTAACGGTTAATGAGGATTAAGGGTTTACCAAGTATTGGGTACCTGCTATGACAAAAAAAAGGAAATAATTATCTAATTGAGATTAGAGAAGAAGTTTATCTTACAACTTGCAAGAGTAAACAGGAAGAGTCAAGTTTTCTGAGCAGCCTCTTTTCCACCTGTTAATTAAGATGCAGATTAATCAAAAGACACTTGTCTTTTGCATGATTTCTTGTTAACGTATTGCCTACATATTGGAGTTGAGCTAAAAGATGATAAAACCACTTTGCAGATGACAGCCTCAAAAGTTGCCTACACCCAAGTTTTAGAGAGGCGTTTAAACCTAAAGAATGTGATACCTTACTGTATGATAACAGAGTTCTTTAAAGAGGTTAACTAGTGATTCAACCAGGAACAGGTGCCAGAATTTTCATTTGTTCCATTAGCTTCTGCTTAAAATATTTCATTTACATATTTCAGAAGATTAAATTTGTGCCTGATCTATCGTCTGAGTTCTAATCACATTTCCCTGTAATTGAACATCCCAGGGATGTTTTTAGCATTTTCCAGTATTTTGAGATCATATTTTAAAATTATATGTGAGGTTTGACAACTGTTTCACCATACAATAAAAACTGACCTCATTTTCCTCCCTAGCAATACATATCAGAGGCTTGCATATTTTATACTCATAAAATATACTTCACATTAGCCAATCTCATTCATTATTGGGAAGAAGAAAATGACAGTATCTATTAACCTGGGAGATGTTATAAATTCAGACAGTATGTCTCAGGCTACTATGGCCTGAGTAGAGAGAAGTGGATTTATTACATTGCCCCCATGACTACAGTTTTTCTGATTGGGTTCTACCACTTGGCAATACTGGGGGTTAAAAATCATATTGAAGTCATGTAGAAAGATAAATTTACAAAAAAAAAAAAAAATAGCTATGACTTTAAAGGAAATAGTTATTTAGAAATATTTTCATGCTAATACATTTCATCTACTTTAAATAGATTGATAAAAGGTAAATAAATAAAATATACAATTATAGAGTTTAATTTTCCTGAGTTTCACTTCAATCCCTGGAGAAGCATTTTGGCTTCATTCCCCCCTCCCCACACATAAAACATCAAAGATAATTTTTAAAAATGCTATGGGCATAGTTAGAAAGATATTGTGACATCACGACAGGAGTCTGGCTCCATTTTGAGCCTTAACTTTGTTATTTTTTTGTTAAAGATTGCAAATCACATTTTAAGAGATTGGCACAAAATTAAGATCTTCGTATTTACTCACATGGTAAATTTATATCTCAAACAATCTCAGCTTGATTTAAAAAAAAACACGTACACATAAAAATATTAATACTTTGAATTAACTAGATTTTTATATCATTTTAGTCATTGCAAGAAAAAAATAGATTGCCTAAAATTCCAAAATGAGAATATATTCAGTTAAAACTTTCCTTTAGAATCACAAGTTGATCCAGATATATTAAGAGTCCTAAAACTAAAAATCAAGCCTCCATATGATTTAGATAATTATACCTCTACTATTTTTTTTTATTTTGGAATAAATAACAACAATTAAGGTCTTAAAATATTAAACATGTGTCCTATTATAAGATGAAACTATTTCAACATTTTATTTATTTATTTTTACATTTACTGAACATCCTAAGGAATGTCTAAAAACATTTATGTTGGAAGTGCAAACAATGTAAAAGTTTGCTTACTATTGCCTCATATTGGTTTACAAACCATTATTGAATTAATATAGTGTTACAAAATAATAGTGCTTAGCAATGTAATGTTATTGCATTACATACTATAATGTGATAACTTACAAGAAAAACGATGGCTTTATCAAGCTGCAAAAAAAAAAAAAGTAGTTTTAAGCATTGAAAAGACAATCCAATCCCAAATTTATAATAATGGTTTGCTGTTTTGTATTTGCTTTTTTTTTTTAATGAACTGGCTGTCAATTGATGTAATGGAAACATTGATCAATAATATTTTATGTGGTCAAGGTTTAATGACCTGTTTTAAAGTAGGGCTGAATGACTGTAACATAATATGTGTTGTTGTTTCCTTTTCTTTCATTCTTTTCATATTTCTCTCCTTGTTGTGCATTACATTTAAAAGCCAATCAATAAGCATTATATAGTAATTGCAATCAGGTTTATTCCAACCTTATACTTAGGAAAAGAAACCAAATCACAAGTCAGAGGTGACTCAGTTTTTTAAAAAAACAAAAACAAAACTATTTTGATTATAAATACAATTCATTGGATCACAAAATTCTGCTGCAATGTTATTGTTCTTACGGCAACAATAAAATGCTCCTTGGGCTACTTTAAATCCCAGAACAGCAGAACTTCAGACTGTAGCAAACCCATATCAGGAAACTGTAGAGTACTCAAGCTCTCACACTTAAGTGTAAGAAAGACAGAAATCAAGCTTCCTTTATACAGTTTTGCTCTTGAACCTTCAGATATTTTTGCTTCCTGGACAGAGTTTTGTCTCCTTTCTTTGAATTTGGCAAAGATTTCCACCTACGTAAGTATTCAAAGTGCCCCTTTGAAAAAGCACTTGATAACCCTCCATCTCTGTGCCCTAGCTCACCCATTGAAAAATAATGCCTATAATCTTCTCTGAAGTGAAATTAATAATTGAATAGAGTACATTCTCACAAGAACCACGAATCTGATAAGATCCAGTGATCTTTTTAAAGTTCTTGTGAGTTTTAAGTGTCCTTGGGTGAAATGTCTGATTAGAGATATAAGATCTCGCATTAGAGCTTGTGAAATTTTGGCATTCTGGAACACAGCTCATGAGACCACTGGTGTTAGATCGAGGGAGGCACTGAAGAGGCAGGAGGACATGTCAAGTGTAAATGCCTCGTTTTATATAAACTAAAGCTATATCATAAGATAAGCAAGGGTTAATATACATTCTCATCCCTCTAAATCAATGATAGGTCAATACTTACTGTTAGCCCCACCCATCCTGTATATAAGACCACCTCCAACTGTCATAACTGCTCTTTCTGAATGTATTCTGTGAAAGTAAGTAACATATATTAATAAATGAATTTATTTAATTATAATGAGCCTATGTCTATTAAATGAGCCATATCTTCAAAATTAGTGACAAATTGGTAGCAAGAGGATGGTTTAATGGCTCAATAAGAAAATAGACATAAAAGATAAATTCTTCAAACGAAGAAAAAGAAGCAGAGATAAAGCCATCTCTGTTCAAAAAGCCTCAAACTGAAAAACGACAAGAAAAAATATAAAGTACATGATGGAAGATGAAGAAACAACTCATAGCCTAAACAAACAAAAAGTGAATAGGAGTAAAAATAATAGCCTAAGGCTGAAAATACTGAATTTAATAAAATCAAAAAGTGATGATGAAGACCTCACCGTGGACCTCCAAGAAATAATAATAAATAACGGAGCAACGGGAGGAAATTATAACAATACACAAAATACAGCAAACTACGAAGCAGAAAAGATCTACTCCAAACTGACATTCTAACTGAAACTAACGGTCCTGTAAAAAAACTTGAATGGCAGCCATCTTCAAAAAATCAGCCCGACAAAATGGACGACCAATCACCATCGAGAAACAAAATTCCAAAATGGACGACGCGGGAAATTTATTACAATAAAAAATTTCAAAATGAACAAAATTGGTCTGAAGGATCAGATTCCAAATCAGAAACCCTTCCCACTGAATTGCAAATTGAAGGGGCTATGAAAACCCTCTTCGCCGCTTTCGGACCTGAACTAAGCATATCTAAGGGGTCTAAAATATCATCTAAAGAAAAGAAAAAGGAACAAACAACAAACCAATCAAAAGAAAGAGAACCTAAAAAAAAATAAAAACACCTCAATACATCTCAGAATCGATCCCCTATCAACTACCAGAACCACGAATACCAGAACCCAGAGGTAACTGTAAATACTCACCTACACCACAAACGTTCCTGAGAGACCGAAATCTGCATCCGGACGACATCGAGGCAGAAGGAGTGTCTTCAGCGCGACAGTGGACCCTCGGGAGTGAAATTGAGGCCTTCCCATCCAACGGAGACCGCTATGAGGGAGCTGCAACAACGAGGTCCTTCTCCGAAGCCTTCAGGAACAAAATGAGCTTCGCGCATGCACAAACATCACTAGATGAATATAGAAGCAAGTGGATACAGAGTGAACCTCCCAAGCTAATTGCGAGTATCCCTGTGCCTTTTTGCTGTTACCAGCATCTTCAGCACCACGGACAGACGTCTGCTGTAAGTAACATAGCTAACAACACAGAAAATTTGCCAAATGATTTTCCAAAGCTAAGGATGGATGGAATTAATTTATTGGAATGGATCCAACAGCTTCAAGTTGTCTTTCTAAAAGAAAATTTACTGTTCTTTATTACTAATCCACCTAAAAAACCATGGACACTAGAAATTGACAATTTACACCACAGAGCATTATATCTATTAATTTCTAGTATCTCACCAACTATATATCATAGTGTACAACATAATTTGACTGTATCTGAACTTGTACAAAGTATGTTTAAACTATTCCATAGTGAAAGTGTAGCAACAACTACAAGAATATCCAAAAATTTCTTTTCTGCTAGAGTTAAGCCTGGTATCACCATAAGTGAACATCTATTGTCATTGAATGCAACTAGAGCTGAGCTACATATGAGGGGGGAAATTGTGTCAGACCAAACTATGAAAAGTGTTATTATTAATTCTTTAGATCCATCATGGGACAATTTCATATCACACTTAGACACACTAAACTTAGGATATTTATCTATTGAAAATCTATCCAATAGATTAATTGCAGAAGATAACTTGAGAAAAAGTCATAATAATAACACTAGAGAACAAAGGCCTATAAATAAAGTGGTATTTCAAAACAAAAGACAAAACACCATGGAGTGTTATAATTGTGGGTCCAGGGGACACTATAAGAGGGATTGCCCTAAAATTCAAAGAGAGAATTATAAATACAACCCCAGAAATAGATATGATGATAGACAATACTTAGGGGATAAGTACAGGTGTAGGAGTTCCCCAAGTCCAAAAGACATGAATAGATGTAGAGATGACTCCAGGGATAACAAACATAGATCATTATATGGGATAGAAAAACAAACAAAAACAATGAATCAGAACATGACAGACTACATGTGGCTCATTGATTCTGGAGCCACCAATCATACAACCAATAATAAGGAGCTTCTATCATCCTTCACTGAAGAAAATGTTTTAATAAAAGTAGCCAGCCAAGATGAAGTACAAGTAACAGGAAAAGGGAATATAAATCTACCAGGGATAGGGAGAATAGAGGGGGTACTATTAATACCAATGATACCTCACAACATACTCAGCGCTATCAAACTCAGTAAGGAGTCAGACATAAAAATAACATTCAAAGGAGGGAAAATTATATTAGAAAAAGACAAAGAAATCATAGACAGAATTGTAATCAAAAGGGGTTTACCTTACTTATGCACAGATGATAATGAGTCTCACAGTGTAAACACAAACATAGAGCAAGACACAGATATAGTAATAAAGGAAGACAAAATCAACTCAAGACACATTAATAAAGACAAGTCAATACATGATATCACATCCAGGAAACCCTTAATAGGAAAGCCTATACACGATGATTGCGCCTATATGCTACACAGAAAATTGGGGCATGCCAGTTTTCCTGTTGTCCAAAAAATGACTGAACATGCAGAAGGTGTTAAAATAAATGATTGTGAAAATTATTTGGAATGTTCAGTGTGTAAATGCTCAAAACTAAAAACAAAATCAAGACCAAAAAAGGTATCTAGAACTACCAGTCATATTTTCAATTTGGTACATATGGATTTAGTAGGGCCATTAACACCATCAATAAAATACAAAAAACGATTCTTCCTTACTATCATAGACGACTACAGTCATTACGGCTTTGTATATACCCTAAGGCACAAAAGTGAAACATTTCAAAAATTCAAAGAATTCCATAAAATGGTAGAGACACAACATCACATACAGATAAAACAAATTATGACAGACAGAGGTTCAGAATTCATGTCAAAAGAATTCACACATTGGCTTAGGTCAAAGGGAATGTTACACTTCAAATCAAGTCCGTTCTCAGCCTTTCAAAATGGTGTTGTAGAATGATGAAATTCTACTCTACAAACCATGATTAGATGCATTTGGAGGATGCAGGGATAGGTAGACATTTCTGAACAGAAGCGCTCGTATACTCTAATTACACAATTAACCGGCTTTGGTCTAGTGTCATAAACAAGACTCTATAAATAATAATTTATAGAAATAATTTATAATAAGAAGCCACAGATAGCACATCTGCATGTGTTTGGAGTCACTGCTGATGTACATATTCCAAAACAATTAAGACGTAAAGGAGACAAAATATCTAGAAGACTAAGGTTCATGGGTTATGAACCAGGTACTAAAGGATACAAATTCATAGATAGTAATAACAACTTCATAGTATCCAGAACTGCAGTATTTCATGAACAGGCAAACTGGTCCAAAGTATATCTTAACGAGATAAGAAAAAATATAGAGACAAAACACAATAAACTCGATATATCAGAAAATGGAAAAGATTCATACATACATCAAAGAAATAACAAAAGGAAATGTAAAAAAGATTATAATAAAATCAAGATAGATTCACTCACTCAGAGAGAAGCAAAACACTTACATGATATTAACAGCATTCCAGATAGACCAATTAGAAATAATAGAAAACAATTGCCAAATAAATTTAAAGATTATGTAATGCATGAACAATCCAACACAATTACACCAAACAACTATGATGACATATTGAAACTACCACAAGAAGAAAGAATTAAATGGGAATTAGCTATGTCCAAAGAAATGAACAGTCTAAAAGCATTAAATGTGTTTACACCTGCTGACATGCCAAAAATAAAACACCCATAGGTACTAGGTGGATTTTTAAAATCAAAACACTAGAAGGAGGAAACTTATACAAAGCAAGACTGGTAGCCCAGGGATTCTCCCAGAAGTACCCTGAGGATTATACTGATACTTATTCTCCTACTGTAAGAATAGAAAGCGTAAAAATAGCATTAGTGATAGCTTCAATACTAAAACTAGAGGTTTATCAATATGACGTACAAACCGCATACTTACACGCAAATTTAGACAAGGAAATTCATGTAAGGGCACCACACAGTAAAGATACTAACAAAAATGACACATGGTTGCTCAATAAAAGTTTATACGGTTTAAAACAATCGGGAAAACGATGGTATGAATGCTTAGTCGAAGTACTCAAAGATATAGGATTTACAGCAACATCAGCAGATAGCTGTTTCTTTATTAGAAAGGAGGATGAATGACTAGAATACGTATTAATTTACGTAGATGATATTCTGTATATTGGCAAGGACATAGATAAACGAAATGCATTTGCTATTGCAATAGAGAAACATTTCTCACTAAAGTCTCTGGATAAAATAAATAAATATTTAGGGGTACAAGTATATAAAACAGAAAAGGGCTTCTGTCTATCACAAAAAGAAAAAATTGTTGAACTTTTACATAAATGTAATATAATTAATGCTAAAGGCTGTGAAACTCCTATGCAAACTGACTTTCTAAAAAGTATGAACGATCCATTTCCTGATTTTAAAGATAACACATTGTACAGGTCAATCATTGGTTCTCTTCTATACATCGCGAATTGGACCAGACCAGATATTGCATTGCCTCTCAACTTATTATCAAGACAAGTAAGCAAACCTATGACCTTCCATTGGGAAGCAGTAAAGAAAGTACTCAGATATCTAAAAAACAGTGTGGATTTTTGTCTATATTTAGAACCAGACTCTTTCAAAATACCCACACTCAATTGCTATGCGGATGCTGATTGGGCAGGAGACACAAAATCTAGAAAGAGTACATCTGGATACATATTCTTTCTCAATAACTGTCCAATTTGTTGGTATACAGGTAAACAAGACTTAGTAGCAACTTCAACAACCGAAGCTGAATATATTTGCCTTTCCAAGGCTTCAAATAACCTTGTTTGGATCAATGACTTAATAACCAATATCTGGATGAACCCGTCATTACCAATAATTATACATGAGGATAACAAGGCAGTAATTGAGATATCAAGATCAGATGCCATTGGACAAAGATCTAGACATATAGATATAAAGAATAAACACGTAAGACAGCTTTCTAAAGATGGCTTCATTAAAACAATACATTGTGATACGAAAGACCAAATAGCTGACATATTAACAAAACCTTTACAGGTTAAACAACATGCATTTTTAGTAGAAAAGTTATGTGTTAAGATGTATTCTATTCCTAAATATTTTATTGATAATAATAATGCTCGGCATTTAGAGGGGCATTTGTCAAGTGTAAATGCCTCACTTTATATAAACTAAAGCTATATCATAAGATAAGCAAGGGTTAATATACATTCTCATCCTCTAAATCAATGATAGGTCAATACTTACCGTTAGCCCCGCCCATCCTGTATATAAGACCACCTCCAACTGTCATAACTGCTCTTTCTGAATGTATTCTGTGAAAGTAAGTAACATATATTAATAAATGAATTTATTTAATTATAATGAGCCTATGTCTATTAAATGAGCCATATCTTCAAAATTATTTATTTATTTATTTGTTTGTTTGTTTCCATTTCTATACCGCCTTTCTCCAAATAGGACTCAGGGTGGTGAACAGCCAAAGTAAAAAACAGAGCATACAAAATTTAAAAACAGTATTAAAATAATTAAATATTTTGGCCGTAAATTAAAACAACCCAATTTAAAATCAATTTAAAATTTAACTCAAGCCAGCCCAGCTAGTTGAAATAAATAGGTTTTCAGGGCCCGACGAAAAATCCGGAGATCTGTTATTGTACGTAACTCTGGGGGAAGGTTGTTCCAGAGGGTGGGCGCCGTCACAGAGAAGGCTCTGCCCCTGGGGGTCGCCAGCTGACATTGTCTGGCGGACGGCACCCTGAGGAGGCCCACTCTGTGCGAGCGTACTGGCCGGTGGGAGGCTATT